CACTACTTCTTGGAGAGTTTTCCAAATTACTGTATGTAGCTATAATAAATTCTTAATTTCTATGTTGGTGTATGCTATATAAATATAATTGATTTAGGTATTAACATATTGAAGAGTGTTTAAGGTTTTGCAATTCTTAGTTCTTACTAAAGGGTCTAAGAGAACATCTTTGTATCTGCCACTTTGCTTATGTGTGAATAGTTCTCTAGAATAAAGTACGGAGAAATGGAAAAGTTATGCCATAAGAGATTCCACACTGAAAATTTTAAGAGACTGAGATTGCTTTCCAATTCCCACCAGTAGCATATCAGAGTAAGTGCTCCCTATACCTGGACCATTCCCTGCAGAAGGATATCACGCTTGGTAAAGTAGAGGGTCAGCAAAAAAGGGGAAGACCCTCAACAAAATGGATTAACACAGTGACTGCAATGATGGGCTCAAGTAAAGCAAGTGCGTGGGGATGACGCACACCTGGACAGTGTTTTGTTCTGTTGTACACAGGGTCACCATGAGTCAGAGCCCACTTGGCAGCATGTAACAACAACAACAACATACCTGCACCACTTGATATTGGCAAATTTTCTACATTTTGATATTCTGGTGAGTGAACAGTTTTCCTTGGTTGCCATCATTGGTTTGTATTTCCTTTGTGAATTTCCTATTGTCTTATTAATCATACTTATTTGTTGTTGCTTTTGTTTTCTCCACTTAAGATATACTGGATGTTAATCCAAAGTCAATGAATTGTAAATATTTTCTTTAAGTCTTTGATTGTGGTGTTTGTATCAGCCTGAGTACAGTCAGACAAATCATGTGGTAATTTGATGAGGTAAAGTTTGGAGTAATATTTTAAAGAAAAAAAAAAAAAAACACAAAACAATTACAAGAATTCTTAAAGAATAAAGGGTTAGCACGTATGTGAAGCAGCCATTAATCCCCTCTCCCTGGAGTTGAGTTCCATACCTCATTAGACAGGGTGCAGCCTTAACTCATTGATGGTGAAGAAGTTCATGGAAGCTGCAGAGGTGTCTGAGAGGGTGCCAGGTAAGTGATCCATGGGGCAATGTCACACCCATGGCAATCTATGAAGCCACCCAATGGGGCAGGGCAAGCCATTCAGTAGAGATGCCACATGAATGTCACACTATTGCAAAGCTAAGATTTGCCACAGGAGTCCCAAGAAAGCAAGCAAAGAAATCCCTTTCTCTAGCATTCCTTCAGTACCCTCTATGGCCATAACTTAACATGATGTCACATAGCATTTGAGAAATATCCATGTGGTCCAAGCCCATTAATAGAGCAGGCAATGATGGGTGAATTTGGGACTGAGAGGCAATAAATTGGTAAATGTCACAGTACACTCCTTTGGTTTCAGATTTCATATGCATCCTTCTATACCCATTTAAGCTTCTGAACAATGAAACTACATTTCCACCTAACAAGTTAGAACTATCTTTTCCACAAGTCATATTTCCTCCATTTCCCCAAAATAAGATGCACAGACCCAACATTAATTGTTGGTTTGTGGGCTTATTAAATTGTTCTCAGATTCTGTCACTCTCCCACTATCCTGTTATCTAAAGACTAAATTGTAAAGTTAAACTCCAAAAACTTGGATATAAAATTAAAAGGGAAGGAGAAAAATAAAGTTCTTAAAATTCACAAACAGGTAACAGAAAGAGAAAGATAATCAAAACTACTACAATCCTTTTTTCTGTAATTAGTTATGAGGCCATAATTAATCATTATGACTCTCTTCTTCAACTACCTTTTTGTATAATTCTTTTGCCCTCAGCCAGAACCTGGTCAGTGTTCTTTAGAGTGGATATTACCGAAGTGTCAGAGTCTTCCAACTATCCAACCTGCTTTTGATTGCTGTAGTTTTTCATGGGAAAACTATGGGCACTTGGAGAATTCCCTGTAGTCCAGATACAATCCTTATCTCCATTGTGCAGCAGTAATCAGAATCAACCACTCCAGTAGAGTAACCCATTTTAAGACCTACTGGTTTACTGGCATCAAAAGACCAAAATGGACAGATGGCAGACTCATCTTACATCAATAGAGCCATTGTTATGTCCCCACTTGAAACATTTCTTAGGAACTAGAACTTCCAAACCAGAGTGTGGGGCTCCTGGGATGGGGAGCAAAAATCCTGCAAGTGTGTTATTTGGTATAAAAATGAGAGGATCCACTCCCACCTCTATTCCTTGATTCTTGGATCCATTATACTTCAGATTCAAAGCAAAAACCACCTCCTATATAAGACAAAAAGGAGCTCTGGTGGTGTAGGGCTTAAGGCATTTGACTGCTAACCAGAAGGTTGGCAGTTCAAACTCACCAGCCACTCCATGGAAGGAAGACTGGGCAATCTACTGTTAAGATTTACTGCCTCAGAAACCCAAAGGGGGTCACTCTGAGTTGGAATCGACTCAATGGCAGTAAGTTTGCTTTTGGTTTGGTTTCTGTAAGACAAAAGTCCATCCTTTCTGGGTGTTGTCTCCCAACTATTGCTTTAACTGAGTTTTCAGTAAACCATTCCACATTTTAGCCACTTCTCTGTACTGGGGTATGTTAATATTGAAGACATGAGCTCCCTGCAGCACTTTCTTTGCTGTGATATCCATTCATTACTTAGAATCAGTGTTATGAGGAATGCCCACGTGATGGTGGACAAGGTATTCTGTGAGTCCATGGATCAGATGGTGCTGGCAGAAGCATACAGGCAGGGGGAAAACAGTCCATATCCAGAATATGTGTCAATCCCACTTGTGGTAGTTAAGGTTGTGTGTCAACTTGGCTGGGCCATGATTTTGAGTGGTTTGGCAGCTGGATGTAGTTATTCCCCATGAGGAGATTGTAATCACTTCCATGGTAGAATCTTCTGTGAGCACCTAATCATTTGAAGGAGAGCTGCCTTTGGGGTGTGGCCTGCATCCAGTATATATGGCAAAGCTTTGAGAAATAGCCAAGTCTTCATCTCTAGTTCTGGACTGGAACAAGCTGCCTGCTGTGTTGCCTACCAATCTTGAGACTGTGCCATTTTACCTGCTGACCTTGGGTTTGTCAGCCTCAGCAGCCAGCGGCTATCTGAATTAGGAGATGCCTCTAGCTCCAGTGGGCCTGGAGTAAGAGGCAGATCTGAAGCCCAAGGTTGAAGGACCTTTACCTAGTGCCTAGAGCTGGCATTCTCAATTTGGACATCTAGCCTCCTAAACTGTAAGAGAATAAATTCCTGTTTGTTAAGCCATGTCCGGAATCCACTTGTGGTATTTCTGTTATAGCAGCACTTGACTAAGACATCAGTAAAGATGAATCTCTGCCCCCTTTATGATGGAAAAGGTCCAGTAGAATCAATCTGCCATCAAATGGATGGTTTTTCAACCCGTAGGGCATAGTGCCATATTGCAGCTTGGTATTGGTCATGACTCTGGCAAGATTAGTCATTTGTGTTAGCCATATCAGCCTTAGTAAGGGGAAGTCTATGTTGTTAAACTTATGTATAACCTCTATCCTTGCCACCATAGTCACATTGTTCATGGACATAATGACAAGCACTGGGATGGCTGGGAATGAGGTTGACTGACACCCACAGAGTACATTATTTAGTCTCTCTGATTAATAAGAAATTCCTCTGCATGGATGCCCTCTGATGGGCATACACATGGGACACAAATACCTTTATAGTCTGTGCCCATTTTGAGAGTCCATCCATGTATCTCTTCCTTGTCACTAACTTTTCAGCTTTGTTTCTTTGACAATTCCCTAAGAATTCAGCCAAATCCTTAGCAACTGCCTATGTATTGGTATAGATCTTTACTTCTAACCCTTTATCAGTTCAGACATAGTGGACAACCAAATGTCCAGAGCTCAAAGTTATGTTCATTGAGAGGATTTTCTTTCATCACTCTTCATCTAGGACACCCCTGAGTGGAGCTATATAGTGCTGCAGCTGGCCACTTTTGGGTGGAACCAGTATCTCATGCAGACCCTTCTGTAAACAAGGCTTGAGTTTTTAAAATGTCTTAGCCAATTTGTTAGGAACTATGTCTCATGAATGGAAGGAAAGGAGGCAACAAAACAGGAGTTGGTGTTAAAGTTGGTGTTGAGCCTCCAGTTCGTGTAACTTACTTGTACCTTTCAGACCTACCCAAGCTGAGTCTCTTGCATACCATTTCCATTTGATGATGAATTCTTGCCCAAGTTTATGACTAGATGGGTCCAACAACACCTAAATCATGATAGGAACTTTAGGCCACATGTCATCACATATCCCATGATTAGGTGTTCACCAGCAAACTAAGGCACATTAGCAAGTCAGAAGTTGTTTCTCAAAAGCAGAATAGTTATCTGCAGAAGAGGGCATAGATTTGCTCTAGAATCATATGGGTCTCCATCGTGATTGTCTTAATGGTGTTTAGCAGAGGCTCCATATAGTATCCCTGTATGCTATGACACTGAGAATCATTGGATCTGCTAAATCATACAGTCTGCATGATAGAGCAGTTTGTACTGTCATCTGAACTTGCAGCAGAGCCTTCCCTTGCTCTTGTCCCCACTCAGAGCTGGTAATCTTTTGGGTGACTATAGATGGATTGAAGTAGCCCATTCAAATATGGGATCTATTGCCTTCAAAATTCAAAAAGCATCATGATGCTATTGACCATCATGCCTCTTTTCTTTGCAGTGTGCAGTAGGAGATGAAGCAATTGCCCTCTACCTCTGCCCATCCTACCTCCTTGGTAACTCTAGAACCCATATTGAGAAGCTGATAGTTGAAAGTCAAGGGATCATTAGTAGGAATACAAATCAACTTTCATGTTTTAAAAGCTAGGGCTAAACCCAACTTTGCCTGGAAAATTCAAAATACAATCATCTCAGTCCTACATTATCTTCATAGTACTAATAAGAAAAATTAGATAAAAGGTTTAATAATGTTTAGAGTCATTTTTATTTATTCAAATACTTATAGAAATAAAACTTGGGAAATGGAGATATGATTACCAATCAGGTCTGAATGGGATTTTGGATGGAGCAGTTTGAACTTGAAAAGCTGCAAGTTGAATATTTTCTGCCACATTGGGTAGAAAAACATCGTTGATCCTTTTTTTATGTTTAGTAGGTACCTGTAATATAAATATTGAGTAGATGTTGGTGCTTTTCAAGAAATGGTGAATAATTCTTGTTATAGCATCATAAGAATTTGTTGTTGCTAATATGGCCAAGGTTATCAGTTCCATATGAGTTAGGACATTTAGCATGTTTTCTTGTACATACTTTCCCATGAATGATAAAGGAAACAGTCAAGAATAAATCAATCAATGGAAAGCCATTTCCAGCCAAGGAAGAAAAAAAACACCTTTTATTTGGAAGGCAATCTAAACATTCCTTGATATTTTATCCTTCATATTAGTGCAGTGCTATTTTTTTTTTTCTTTTAGAAAATCATTTGCATTCCAGTCACATATAAATTCTGCTTCAACCAGTATTTATCTGACTTGTTTGATAGGCCTTGCTTAAGAGGTCAGACAGATGTTTGAAGAGGCTTCAACAAACATTTTGCCTTTCCTGGCCTTAAGGCTCTTTTGCTTGGAGTCTTTATAATGTACAGAAGCCAGTGGGTCTACCAAACACTTTACAGGATTCATTCATTTAATAAGGTCATGGCTAACATAATTAGCCTTAAGCTATCAGCCTTTTAAATCTCAAAAATACAGTGTATCTCTGTAAACACACTTAGTCATTTAGAAGCCTTCTCAGTCATAAGAGTTGCGATCACTAGCTCCTGCTCCTACACCCCCCCCCCATTGGTTGGAATAGTTATTGTACTAGGAGTTTTTGGAGGTGGGGGTGTTGTCTGTGAAATGGAGATTGAGAGAATCCTGAAAGCCTTTGTGGTCCCATACATGCAAACTGAACTTTGTTTGCTTTTGGAAAGACTCATGCAGAAACCTAAATAGACATAGAGTACTAGAATTTCATGTTTTGGAAAAAGTGATTGGTGAGTCAAGCAAATAGTGGACATTACTAGTATGGCCCTCCCTCAATAAAGGATCTCATTTGGGTGTTACCCCAAGTTACTTCTTTTGTCATTGTGTAGGAGCTCTGGTAGCATAGTGCCTAAGGCACTTGACTACTAACCAGAAGGCTGGTGGTTCAAACCCACCAGCCACTCCTCGGAAGGAAGGTTGGGCAATCTACTGTAGTGATACCGCCTGGGCAACCCAAGGAGGGGTCGCTATGAGTCAGGTCCAACTTGATGGCACATAACAACAACAACAACATAGTCTCTTAATGAAATGTTTAGAAATATTACAACAAACTTCTGGTTCAATAACCAGACCATCAGTTTCAGCATTACACGTTTTAAAGAGGCCTTAGAATGACGTAACTGTCTCTAGGATTAAATCTTTTCCTCCTTTTCAAAGTAAGAAAGTGGGAATTCTTAGATGTGTTCATTGGATATGTAAACATCACTAGAGGGGATATAACTCATTAAAATAGCATAGAGAAGGCAGTGGAAGAGAATGTAAATAAAGGTGCTTGTGCATAAAATAAAAGCTAAAATATTAAAAAATAATTCCTCAAATATGTGTGATACCTCAACGTAATCTGTATTCCAAGAATTTACATGGAGGGTAGATTCCTCACAACTTTTTTTTTTTTCTAATTGTGATTTGGGTGAAGATTTACAGAGCAAATTCACTTTCCATACAGCAGTTCACATATACTTTGTCTCATGTCATTGACCACAGTTCACCACAATGCAACAGCTCCCTTCCCACTTCCTCCCCATAGTTACCTCTTCCCAGTGTCCATCCCTCCATACACTCCTGCCCCCTGAGCTGTCTCCCTGTG